GTTGAACATAGAAGGTACATATTATTGAGTTAGTGTTTTCATTTCCTTCAGATAAATACCTGGAAGTGGAATTGCTGGATCATATGGTAGTTCTATTTTTAATTTTTTGCAGAACCTCCATATTGTTTTCCAGAGAGGCTGCACCAATTTATAGTCCCACCAACAGTACACAAGTGTTCCTGTTTCTTCACAGCCTCACCAATATTTGTTATTTCTTATCTTTTTGATAATAGCTACTCTAACAGATATAAGGTGATATCTCACTGTGGTTTTCATTTGCATTTCCCTGATGACTAGTGATGTTGAGCATCATTTCATATACCTGTTGGCCATCTGTTTGTCTCCTTTGGAAAAATGTTTATTCTTTACCCATTTTTAAATGTTTTAAAATTGGATTGTTGGTTTGCTTGCTATTGAGTTGTATGTATTCTTTATTTTGGAATTAGCCCCTTAGCAGATATATGATTTGCAAATATTTTCTCCCATTCTGTAAGTTGGCTTTTCATTTTGTTGATAGTTCTGTTTACCGTGCAGAATCTTTTTAGTTTGATGTTGTCCTACTTGTTTGATTTTGCCTTTGTTGCCATTGCTTTTGGTGTCAAATCCAAAAAATCATCACCAAGACTGATGTCAAGGAGTGTATGGCCTATGTTTTCTTCTAGGAGTTTAATCGTTTCACGTTTAATGTTCAAGTCTTTAATCTATTTTGAGTTGATTTTTGTGTATGATATGAGATAATGGTCCATTTTCATTCTTTTGCAGGTAGCTGTCTAGTTTTCCCAACACCATTTATTGAAGAAACTGTCCATTCAACATTGTATATTCTTGACTCCTTTGTTGTAAATTACCTGATCATATATGCATGGGTTTATTTCTTGGCTCTCTATTCTGTTCCATTGATCTATCTGTCTGCTTTTATGCCAATACCATACTATTTTGGTTACTATAGCTTGTAATATAGCCTGAAATCAGGAATTGTTATGCCTTCACCTTTGTCTTTGTTTTTCAGGATTGCTTTGGCTATTCAGGGTCTTTTTTGGTTCCATACAAATTTAGGATAATTTGTTCTATTTCTGTGGAAACTGCCATTGGAATTTGATAGGGATTGCATTAAATATGTAGATTGCTTTGAGTATTATGCACATTTTAACAATATTAATTTTGCCAACCCATGAGTACATGTTTTTCTATTTATTTGTGTCTTCAATTTCTTTCATAAATGTCATAGCTTCCAGTATACAGGTCTTTTGCCTTCTTGGTTAAATTTATTCCTAGTTATTTTATTCTTTTCAATGCAATTGTAGA